GTACATGTATAGGTACATGTACATGTATAGGTACATGTGTGGGTACATGTATAGGTACATGTGTGGGTACATGTATAGGTACATGTACATGTATAGGTACATGTGTGGGTACATGTACCGGGGGTATGGGTAATGTGTGGGTACATGTGTGGGTACCGGTACATATTTATGTATGGGTACATGTGTGGGTACCGGTACATATATACATACATGGGTACATGTATGGGTACATGTACATACATGTATGGGTACATTATGTATTGTACACTGGTAGGTTCCAACAATCTACCACCATGTACGGTACACTGTACAGGTACACTGTACCGTAGATCGTTGGAATAAAAAGTTGAATCACCAGTTGAAAAATATTCAAAATGAGGGCCAAAAAAGCAGACGGGTGGTGAATATGGCCTGAGTGGTTACATCAAACTAGTTTATTTTTTACTTGGCCTGACAGGGCATTCCTTGAACAAAGCTTTTTTTATCAAATGGTAAAATCTTGTTCATACCAAATCGTGAAATGTTCTGCCCAGCACGAATCCAGAGCTGCACAGTCTCACACTGGGTGACCAAGGCCTTAACAAATTTGTTGAACAGCAGGCAAGATGTACGCCATGTCGTGGCCCTAACCCTGCTAACACCTTGTTTCCCGGTCATCGTGCCACCTCGTACACAGCGGTGTGCCAGCAAATTTTATTAAAACAGAAGAGACAACTCTTCTGGGAGAACAGTATGCGACAGCTTTCCAGGTGTTCCATTTAAGTTTTGTCCTACATTGTCATAAAGGGAAATCAAGTTGTGGGAAATCACTCTGTTGGTCAAGCTCACGTTGAGTGGCATATTGCTCAAAAGGTTGTACCTGATTTTCCCCAGGGGCACTGATACGAGTATGTTTGAGGTGGTTAAACACATTTTGCCAAAGTTCTAGTGCGTAAAACAAAAAAGAGTGTTTCCCAAAAGGCCTTACATAAAGTCTATATACCCCGGTAGTCCAATAGACTGGTACATAAAGTTACTCAAATTTCCCCTCTAAAATAAGTCAATCTTGTATTCTATGTCCCGCTTTACTATTCTGAAGATTTCGAACTAATCTGTTTCAAAATATCTTCCGTCTTTGTCTATTTTAAGTGTGAGGTGGTAACATTCAACAGAAAAGCCTGAGGTGGTCACTCAAATCAGTGAGGTGGTCCGCCCCACAGTTGAGTAGGCAGAGGAAACCCTGGATTATACTGTCCTCAACACAGCGGTATGGTAGAACATGCGAATTACAAACATCATGTGTTACATATTTGAAGTATTTCATCTTTTCTTTTATTTCACAAACCACTACATCCAAGATAACCTTTTAGGCTTCATCACAAAATGTTTGAAAAAGCAAGGCATTTCTACATGTAGTTTATCACTTGTGGCATATTCTAAACCCACAGTCCCCTGCTTACAAAACCACAGTGTACTCGTCAAGCTTGTGCATTTCAGGTAGACTCTAAACTTTGGAGTTTGCTTAAAAACGGTGACAATACTTTCAGAATTCTCTGTTCATTGTGAAATACGTATTTGCTTATAATAAAGCTGGAGGTGATTAGGTTAACATACCGGGGTACGTATACATGTAATTCCTTTGTACATATGCCGTACGGGTACTAACCATTTTTCTGAAACAACTTTGTACACTTGGCCTTAGCCAGTGGGTACCACTGGGGCTAATGGGTGCACCTGCCTTCAGGAACTCAACACATACATTCTCATTCCTCCCCAGTGACTAACAAATTTGTTGCTGCCAGACCCAATTACCGGGGACAACAAAAGTTACGACTTCAGGAATAAATCATGGCAAGAATAAATGCCCATCCTGGGGCAGACACAGCAGTGAGCTTGTGTGGGGTTTTGTTATAATGAAAGACAGTCTGAGATACATGTACATGTATGGTCACCGAGTATGTCATGTACGGTACAGTGTACATGTACATGTACAGTAAGTTTGGGTTACATTGTAGTGGTCATGCTTAAGCACAATTTTTTTTTACTTGTCCATGGAAAAGATGGACTAGTTTACTCAAGTTACGCATTGCCAAAAGAAAGGAACCGGTTGCAAGGAATTTGTATTCGAAATGTCAAATTGAGCAAGTATTCTTTATCCGTCTTGAGCAGGAGCACCCCCTAATTGCTTGAAAAGAGCCATGTTGGTCAGGAGTGTTCGTTTTGGCGGTAGCAATGCGACCGTAATACGTGCATTTCATATTCATTTGTGAACCGGTGAAGTTCAGTTCTGACTAGAAGCCTCTGTTGCTAGGAAAATTGCACCCTCTCTTGGTCCATCCTGGGGCTCCTAGTACAAGTAAAAAGGACTTTTGTCTTAGCTTTTTCCAAACAGCATGGGGATGTGACTTCTCGGAATTCCTCCAGATTGAGGGATTTTTGTCCTCGAGATTGTTGGTTTTCATTCAGGTCTCCCCACTTTGTTGCAACAAAAGCGCAAGCTGCAAGATTCATACCATCGTACTGGTGATCTACATGTATTGAGATGCCTTTTTAGCTACTGCACCAAGTATTACAAGCCCTGAAAGGTCACTGTGTCATTGTTACAACCCTTGAAGCTTCATCTGGGTCCTGATTACACAAAATAATTACATTTAGGAGCAACATTACAATGTACATTCTATACACTGCACATTGACACGTTTAGTTGTGGTCAAAAGCTTGCATACGCAAGGCCCGAAACTGTTTAATTTCATGTACCAGTACCATGTTTAAGACTTTTTGCCCATACTTGCCAACTTATATCAGCCAGCCCGTCCACGTAGACATGTACATGAACCTGCAAATGGGTCTCGAAAAGGAACGATTATTAGGCACAGATAAAGTCTTTGAAAATTGTAATTAGTTGTAAACACTTTCAGGTGAAGTCTTTGGTGTTGGTAACTCTGGGTAACAACTGTAGGTACAGTGTCGGGCATTTACACACAATGTACATGTTTGTACAGTAAAACATGTACATAATAGTATCGACAGGCCTACATGTACATGTTCCACTCATTGTGCATGTATGTACATGTACATGTGTCAGTTATGTATGTACATGTACACGTACGGCAGATTGCACTGTGTTATGTACTGTACCTGTTCGTTTATTGGCAACTGCAGTATACAAAGCTTTCTTTCCAAGGAGTTGCCCCAGATTAGCAACGGTCACCCCACAATGCTGTCCCCAAGCCCACCCTTAAGGGAGTACCTTCACAAAGTCCAGACACAATGAGGGGGGAGGGGATGATCCCCTCCTTTTGTGACCCCTCCCCCCAACTGCGGTTCATTCTGAATGAAATCTGGGACTGACTTTGAGGATGTGATGTAATCACAGATTTCATCAACGGGAGAGGGTCGTTGAATGGAGTAGAACGAGACAAGGAATGAAAATGTAATGATTTGTCCTCATAGGCCAGGGAAAATGAAATGAACACATACCGTACCACACTGGAATAGATTGCTTACATGTACATGTGCCTGTTGTGCTGCTAGAGGCATGTTTTTAATGGTTATTTTGCTCTTAAAACAGTGTTTCATGAACTTTAAATACATACATGTACACTGTACATCATAAAGAAACAGTGTGAAGTTTTAGTCTATAATTTGTGAAATTCACATCTACACGCTTAAAAACGGTCAGACAAAACGTACAAACACAAGCACTGTTGGTCTGCCATTGTAAGCTTTTGATCAGGCATGTACCGTACATGTACAGCATACCTGGTATACCAAGGTTAACTACATGTATGTAAGAACATGCTCTCTGAGTTGTACTCCAAAAGCAGAGTAAAAACAACCAACAGAATTTCTCTTTTTTTAGGACTTCTTCCTTTCTTTTCTTAGGACATGTTCGTCTGACCACATTTGCTCCTCAGTGTGGTAAAAAAAATGTACAATGCACAAACTGTACGGGGTAGTTTCATGCTCGGATCGTAACGACCGTAATGTCAGATTTGGTCTTGACAGAGTCAAAGACAAATTTTTTTATATCATCAGACTCTTGTGATAGATTTCTTCCTAATTGATCCCAGTTTGTGTTTGCTTTTTGAGGGATTGCTTGCCTTGACAATACCCCCCCTACATGCCTTTTACTGCTGCATTTATAAAGAGGACTTTGTGGAGTTGAGGTCAAAGTTCTAAAGACAGCATCAGTAACAGTGACTTCAACTCTGAACTCTGACCCCCACCCTTCACCCTTTTTCATATGGTACTATATTTAAGGATAGTATTATTTCACTGTCAATTTGTCCCAGATGTGATATTGTTTTCAGTTGAAAACGCTGACATTCAAAAATGACAAGACCACAATCGCACTCTCACTCTGTCACAGTGCATCTGATGAAGTAGTTGTTGCTACGAAAGCTTATGCAGTATTTTATATTTAGTTAGTCTGTCACAGATCTGGACTTTACAAATGTTGACCCTTGGTGATCGTTTATTCAGGATTCGTGCAGCATTTCTTTACTGCTTTGCCATTATTACAGATTCTGAGACAGTGCTACATGTACATGTACCAGTACATGCAATTAATGAGGAATATTTTCTTGATGCTCAACTGTAGCCCATGGTCACTTGAAGAAGAGGCAGGATTTGTCAGGGTTTTTCCTGATTTCAGGATCTTTTCATGAGGATTTTCCTGGTCTTAAGGCTTTTTTAAACACTTGGGAAAATGCTGAGATCCCTATGATGGTATTTTGCTGATAAAAGTGGATACAAAACACAAAAATGGTTATTTTAAGGGTTGTATTTAGGCTGACACAAATGCTTTACTGTAGACCCTATGCTGCTGTAGGGGCCGTCCAAACCTCAGGTGGGTATTTCAGGGATATTTCATCTTCTTTCCGTCTCACTCCTGTTGAGGGTTCCTTGTACATGTACACGTACTATTGGATCAAGCCTACACATGTAATTTATACATGGTACGGCTTGAAGTGGTTACAATTTAAAAAAAACAACTTTTTTTATGGTCTTCTGTTTAGGTTGTCTATCAGCAAGGACCCAGCCTGGTTGCCTCTGTAAACACAACGAGTTCAGCTGCGCGCCCACCGAGACAGGAGAGTGTACCTGCATTCCGCAACAGTGGCGTTGCGACGGGGACAGCGACTGTAGCAATGACGAAGATGAGGATGGTTGCGGTGAGTACCTCAGACTGATGGTGTTTGGAAGTGATGAATTTGATAAAATGATAAGTTCCATCTGTGAACATTTCCTTCTGCTCTTACTCCCGAGTTTGCTAAACTAGAAACAGGGCCTTCTGGTAAGCCTTTCAGGCTCTAGCTCAAAAGTTAGAAAAAAAACCAAAGATTGTTGATAGACCACATTTTCAGAGAGTCAAATGTAAAAAGGTTCACTGAAAAATTTGGTTCCATGTTTACTTGAGTTGCAGAATACATGTGGGTAATTCCAGAAATCAGGGGTCCTAAAGTGTGACATTTTTGTGTCCCTGTTACATCTGACCTTTGTTAGTTGACATGGAAATATCACTGGAATTGATTTCAAACTATTATTGTTTGTTTGGCAGGCACTTTGCATTGATTCTCATCACTCTTGGAAATCAGAAAATGTGTTCTGAACTTACAAAATCAAATATCATATGAGACAGGGACACGGAAAAAATGGACCCTTAATTTTTGGAAGTACCCATGTACTTTATTCTTGACTACTTGCAGTGTTACCAACGTGCTCATCGGATCAGTTTGAGTGTGCAAACGGCAAGTGCATTCCGCAAAGCTGGAAGTGCGACACCGATAACGACTGTGGCGACATTTCTGATGAAACAGATTGCCGTAAGTGTACTGCGCCTTTTACTTGTCTTGGTAAAAGTCAGACACAATTTCAATATAAAATGGCTCCATGCAAACATGAACCTGTCCATGAACACGTAGTACGTGAATGTTTGCAGGTAGTCCCGATTGTGACATACTGGCCGTGAAAACTATACATCGTTCCACAGGGTACAAAGATGAGATAGTGGACATCCAAGTGAGACTGATTGTGAGCTGGGAAACAGAAGAAATCTTTTGATGATCGCAGCATCACGTTTTGTGACAAAAAAGTGGAGGTTGTGTTATTTGGGTAGGAAAGTGTAAATGAGGTGCGAGTATTTAGAGCCACGCTTGATCAATGTGAGAAAGAGGTGTGCGATATCAACTTTTTCCCACAATGTGATGGGCACGTCCGTTGAATTGAACCCTCTAGCGACCATGTAGTAGCATTCTGCGTTGCTTGTCTACAGCTGTGGGATTCAAGAATTCAATTCATTTAAAATGAACCACAACTTTCACTGTCTTGTGCTTATGTCTATGCATTGTCACCTCACACACACATTCGTCTGTCTTTTGTCTGTCTGCCCATAGGCTGTGGAACAAACACCCTTGCTTCATCCCAGACCTAGATATTGTTATTTCCAAAATGTTTTCCATTATATCAATTATCCGTTACAATTACTCGTATGTATCTGCTCTGAGCGGAACAAAAGAGGGCATGTTTTTTTGGTACTCACTGCATATTTGTACCTGTAGGTGTACCGTGAGGCGCGCAAGTATACGCGCGTTTGACGCAGAGCACGCTGAGTACGCGTAACTGACTTATTCCGGCTTGTGCACAAATGTATGGTCTTTGCGTACATGCAGAATGCGTGTATGAACCCGCTTGTAACGACCTGTCTTTCTTTCGCCAACTGGGGGTGCACTTCAGCTCAGGGCAGATTGCATAACTGATTATGTTCACGTGTACGCCAATTTTAGCAGAACTGAAATGAATGTACTTGTGTACCGGTACACGTACATATTCCGTCCGATTTTGTTCTTTCCTTACAGCTGTAGAAGAGTGCGAAGGAAGAAGCAAGTTTCAGTGTGCCAACAATAAATGCATCCGGAGGCGATGGGTTTGTGACGGGGAGGACGATTGTGGGGACGGATCAGACGAAGTCTGTCGTAAGTTGTTCTTCTTTTCTCATCAGGGTTTTTCTGAGGCTCAAGAACTTTGATTTCTTCACCTGAGTCGAGCTCTGCGGTAAACGCATTTTAAGGTTTGCCTAAAATGCAGAGAGCATTCAAATATGAACATATTTTCAGTGCAGTGAGCGCCATTGTGCACGCACACAGCGCATCCCTACCGTGCAGATCTCATTGCTGTGCGAAAAGTATTCCATCTCCCGCTCAGATGTGCATATTTGGATAACTTGTGTTTTTTTAATGTCAAAGCTAAATTTCACGTCAGCAGCTGAATAGAAAAATATTGCTAATTTTTGTCCCTTGTAGCCGCCCAGTCATGCCAGCCGTCAGAGTTTCCGTGTTCAGCCGGGGGTTGTATAGCCAATGCATGGGTCTGCGACGGAGATTTCGATTGTCCAGACCGATCAGACGAAGCCTCTTGCCGTAAGTAGCTGGAATCTTGTCCTGTGTGCTTGATTTGATTTGATGTGATGTGATCCAATCCGATCTCATCTTATTTCATCTGATTTGATATGATGGATTTGCTTTTTCAGCGGACAGCATCAATCTGTGCAGTCCTGGTCAGTTCCATTGTGAGACAGGCAACTGTATCTTGAAAGATTACGTTTGCGATGGAGATGAAGACTGCAATGATGCAAGTGATGAAGCAAACTGCGGTAAGTATCCATGGAAACCAGTAGAGTGCTAGAACACTTTTTGAAAGGGACAAATGTTTTGTAAATGGGTTCATAATTGAAAGTGGCCTAAATTTGGAAAACCTGTGGGTCTTGAAAGTACATTTCTAATGTTGCTACAGTAAGGTACTCTTGTATTTATTGGAAACGTGATGAATTTATTAGCTTAGCACATAAATCTGTTTACTGTTTTTCTTCTTGGAAGCTGAACGAAATGGTGCCCGGTTATGAGACTGTGATCACTACTTAAAATCTTAACATACATGTATATACTTGAGACAAGTTTGGGCTAGAGTTAAGGCTGAAGCCTGGAAATGAGTCTAGATTCCCAGTGGTGGTTGCATGTACATGTACAGACTTTCAAATTTTATGCGGCTGTAATTATAACCTGGGTCTGCAAGCTAGTCTTGCCCTCAAGGCTTACAGAACTTTGCTGTGGTATCCAAAATGCTAAGATGATTAAAGCACATGTAACAGTTGTGAAGCTCCTTATAATTGCAGAAGGCACCAACATGACTTGCACGGAAGATGAGTTCACATGCGGAGACGAGACGTGCATCTACGGACGATGGCGCTGCGATGGCGACTATGACTGCGAAGATTTGTCAGACGAACAGGAATGCCGTGAGTTCAAATTTCTCCTCAACCAGTTCATTAATATTTGATCTTTTTACTGGAGTTGTTAATTTTTTCTGGAATAAACGATGCCTGATCCAAGCTTATTTGCATATGATTTGATGAAACATTTACCGTTTTTCTTGAATTAGCTGAACACACTTGTGCGGCTGATCAGTTCCAGTGTACGACTGGACGGTGCATTAGAATCACATGGAAGTGTGACGGGGAACCAGACTGTTCTGATAACAGCGATGAGGAGAATTGCTGTAAGTCACATCGACCAGTTGTGTAAATCGTTTAGTTTACTTGGTGAAGTTCTTGTTTTTCAAGCAATACAGCTGCTACTGGCATCTTTTATGAAGTTTGACAAGAGACAGCTATCATGGGGCAGCCATCTTGCTTTTTTACCATTGAAACCAATGTAACCAAACTGAGGCTGAAAGGGAAAATAGTCTGTTGCCTTTTATTTATATGTAAAGGTATAATGCTGTTGCCAGTGGGTCTACAGGGAACAAGACATATATGGTACTTTCCACGACTATCTACTGCAGTTGGTCTTAGAGATTGGAAGAATTATGATTGACTGCCAGGCAAAAGATATTCTAGAAATCGGCTTTGCATTTAATTTAAAAAAAGGACAGAGAATTAGGACAATTCATGCAGAATGAAGATTTGTCCAAAAAAAGGACTCAAAAAACTGAAGAATTGATAAAATGGAAAGCTCTCTAGGATGCATTCCAAGCTTGTGTATGTTTTTTGTTGACAGCCAACAGCACCAGTAGAGTGTGTTCTGACGACCAGTTTCAGTGTAAAAATCGTAAGTGCATCGGGCTGTCCAAAGTCTGCAACAGCAACGACGATTGCGGGGACAGCAGCGATGAGCGCCCTGTGCAGCCTTGCTGTAAGTCTGGTTGTGGGTTGGAATTGCCTTGTGTCGGTAGGAACTTGATTGTTCTTATCCAGGAATGTCAAGGGAACCAGTGAAGGCATAGAATGTAACCAGTGAAGGCATAGAATTTAACCAGTGAAGGCATAGAATGGAACCAGTGAAGGCATAGAATGGAACCAGTGAAGGCATAGAATGGAACCAGTGAAGGCATAGAATGGAACCAGTGAAGGCATAGAATGGAACCAGTGAAGGCATAGAATGGAACCATTATCAGCATGGTTGGTAACCATCCAGTTACCCGGCTGTCTGTGACTGCATGTCTTCCATGGATAGTTGAAATGGATTCAGGAATAAAATAGCCCTTAGCCTGTTGGTCAGGGAAATAATGCAATGTTAATTAGAAATTAAGTTCACATTTGACCTGTGCCTTGTGATGTTACAATAAACTACTTTCAACGGTGTCATGTTGATGTCGGAGTCGGTTTATCAAATTCAAAGTCTGAATTTGTGCATGGAAGACAACACCACGTCTTTTAAAACAACCAGTGTCATTTGGAAATTTTTTTTTCCAGACTCGGATGATTTGTCAAGAATCTCTTGCGGCTCAGATAAGGGCGGTTGCGACCAGTTCTGTACCGATTTGAACCCTGGTGTCCGCTGTTCATGTGAACAAGGCTATCTCATTGGTGGGGATGGCAAGGAATGCGTAGGTAAGAAAGACGTCTTGAAATGAGACTAGCCAATTCAGATAGATGCCAGGCCTACTTAGGGCAGACAAGCTGTGCTTCTCAATGACAGGGATTGATCTCGTAGACTTGATTTGTACCAGCGCACAAGTTCAATACAGGGACCCCCCTCTACAACGTCACGGCTGTTGGCAGTGTCTCAGGGCATGAGTCGTTGCCATGTATGGGTCTACAAACCCTCCACAGCTAAATGATTAAGTTGTAGCAGAGCAAGGCATCAAATCTTTTTTTACTGAGCAATTTCATTCATTTCTATTCTCATTTTTTTTTCGTTTAGATGTGGACGAATGCCAAGAAGAAGGTATCTGCAGTCAAGTTTGCAAAAACACCGTCGGATCGTTTGAGTGTTCATGCATCGAGGGTTACGAGTTGAGGCTGGATGGAACAACGTGCAAAGCACAAGGTATGTAGCACTGTGTCTCTGTGGGTATTTGTTACTCGGTCTGTCAGGGTATAGGGGATATGAGTGGAGAATGGATTGAGTGGTGCAAAGTACAAGTTATGTGGTACTGTGTCTGTGTGGTTGTATGCCTCCCAGTCTGTCAGGGTGTGTGGGCGTGTCTGTGGGTGGGTGTGTGTCACCGGGTCTATCAGGGTGTATAGGAGAGATAATTTTGGATTGGATGGAATAACGTTCAAAGCATAGGGTATGTGGCATTGTTTGTGGGTGTCTGTCACTCGGTCCGTCAGGGTATATGACTAGATTAGGTTAGAATGCTTAGCGAAGCACAAGGTATCGTGTCTTGGTGTCTGTCAGAATTTGGAGTAGTTGCAAGGGAAATACGTGCTGCACATCACTCTAAATTTTGAAGTAGATCTTAGAATCTTGATACTTTGTTTCAATCTGTCGCAGGTCCTGAACCATATCTTCTGTTTGCCAACCGGATCGACATCCGACGATTGGAACCCAACAACTTCCATTACACCCCTATCTTGAGGGACTTGGAGAATGCCATCGCCTTGGATTATCTGATCGGGGAAGAATTGGTGTTCTGGTCGGACGTGACCCTCGATAGTATCAAGAGGGTGTATCTTAATGGGACGGGAGTTCAGAGCATTATCACCACAGGACTTGAGAGTCCAGGTAAGAATCGGAACCTTTTGCTGGGGGGGCAATATACCTAGCTCACCATTTTGGCCAAGTTTGTGCCTAGCCATTGTTTGTGTCAGAAGGGGGACAGTGTACCATGTATTTAGCACACCGTTTGACAAATGCTGTTCAAACTGCCTTTTCATGATGGGAAATGACCCTGTCTTTGAAATGCCAAGAGATGAACAATAGGTGTGTTAGTGAACATTTCAATTCACACTTCAACAGTGCAATTTTCAGTATGCACCAGCAATGTGTTTCACTTCCCTGTTATGAATGAAATGCACTCATCCTGGAGGGATGTGGCCTAGTGGTTAGGGTTTGTAGCCTCTGATCATAGGGTCAGGGGTTCGAATCCAGCTGGTGGCAGCATGTTGTGATCCTGGGCAAGTCACTTTACTCCCATGTGGCTCTCTCCACCCAGGAGTAAATGAGTATCTGTGAAGGCAGACACGGTTAGGTTTAGCCGTTTGTGCCGAAATGGCAGCACTGGGCTAGTATACTCCCCAGGGAGCTGCGATGGTTGCAGGAACGTTCATATGATGTGTGAGCTCAATGTGCAGGGGTAATAATGGTGCTTTGAAATGTTGTGGAAAGCACATTACAAATGTTATAATTATATATATTACTATAATTATTTTATTGTTATCCTCAACTTCCTTGAAATTCCTGTCCATCCCTTTTTGTGCTGCCACAGGTGGCATTGCCGTGGATTGGATTGGACGGAAGCTATACTGGACCGATTCGGGAACATCTAGGATTGAAGTCAGTAATCTGGATGGGACGGACAGGAGCGTCCTGATCTGGGAGGATTTGGAGAAACCGAGAGCCCTCGTGGTCCACCCAGAACAGGGGTGAGATTCCAAGATCATCCCTTCAATATTTAGAAGCAGCTGTCAGATAAGCAATAATATTATTTTATGCAAATAAAGCCTTTTTTTCTATCTCCAACATCCACATAATTTGTATGATTAGCATAACAGGTTTATTAAGCAGGTAGATATGAATATGCGCATAATCATTATCTGCAGTTTTTAATTGGTTATTCTGTTGCAAGGCATTGCATACACGGATGTTAAGGGTACTGAAACTTTCACTACTGACAGTTGTTAATCCAAAATGATCCCTTAGGAAGTTTTGTTTCAAGATCCATCTGCTTTCGAATCTGTCGTCCATCATGTCCATTGTTCATATTGACAATTAAACGTACATGTACATTATGGGCCGCGTGATTTTAAAATGCCTGACCACTTTTTGCCGAATGACATCTAAACATGCACAATTTTCCTTTGTTCTGCGGAGGACATGTACACACGGTGAAGAATTCTTTTGTCATTCCTGCAGCTGATGTAGTAACGTGTCGTGAAATTGCAAGGTTGAAGAATTTGCAAAAAAACCCTGTCCCAGCAGCTAAGAAAAGAAAATCTGACATTAAATAAATGAAGGAAGATAGCCACCTTGTAATGACTTTGGGCTGAGATTGGCAGTCTCTCAATTATCGTTCTGAGCAAAAAGTCTTTGTTTTTCATTTTGTAAAAGTATTCAAAAATGTGGATTTGTTTTCGTCGCTGACAGGACAATGTTCTGGACAGACTGGGGCAGCACGCCGAAGATTGAATCAGCAGGGATGGATGGAAGCTCCCGTCACATCATAGCCAACACCAGCCTGTTCTGGCCCAACGGTCTGACTCTAGACTACACCACACAGAAACTCTATTGGGTGGATGCCAAGCACCATGTGATTGAGAGTGCCAACTTGGATGGTTCCCACCGGAAAGCCATTATCAATGAAGGTACCTGTACCGACAAGTCTGGACCCCAGACCAAAAGACACAGACTATTTGGAGTGATCTTTAAGGCCAGTATAACTGGCACGGTTACATGACAGGAACAGAATTCTTCCCAATTCTGAAAATTTCCCAAAGTAGCTCAGATATGCCAAGACTCGTTTAGTGGATGTTTGGGATTACAAATTGTTCTTCCCTTGCCAGATTTCTCAACATGCATCACTGCTCAAAAAATTTCCCTGTGTTTAAAAATTACACTGTCTGTTAAGAAACCAATGGCTGTGCATGCGCTGCATGGGAAAACCGAACAGAAATCCTAGACATGACATGATACCTCCATGTATATTGTAGTGGATGGTGGCTGCCTGCTATCAATATCATTGATACGACAGGAAACAAACATGGGGGACAACCCCCCCAAAAAAATTGATCAAAGCTTTGTTTACCCATAACCACCATGGCTCAGTTTCCCCCCAAATAGCCAAAGATAACAAAGTACCAGTTGCAGTCTTTGTATAGCCAGTGACATTTAAACTGGTAACCTGTTTTGAAAAAGAAAACATTGCTTTAACTCATCAGACCTATCTACGTCTCACATTAATTTATTTAATAAATTATTTCTTCATCTCTAGAACTCGTTGGCATGAATTCTTCGAACTACATTAGGTCATATATTTTTTTTCAGGCCTGCCGCACCCATTTGCAATCACGTTGTTTGAGGATTTCCTTTACTGGACAGACTGGCACACCAAAAGTATCAACAGTGCCAACAAGTTTACGGGGACGGGCATCGAGATGATCCAAAGTCAGCTGCACTTCCCCATGGATATCCACTCATTCCACCCCCAAAGGCAGCCTGATGGTATGTTCCGGTTTAAATGGACCAATCGTGTACTGAACATCAGAAGATTCCATTTCATTTTAGGAGTACGCAGTCTGATCACCTAGTGCATTCTGCACTTCTCCTGAGATCTTTTGCCCCTTTTCAACCCTAAGTGCATCCAGATGGTGCATTCTCCATTCGAAATCCACCAATCACATACAGATTTCAGGAAGACTCCATTCTGCAGTGGGTAGAAACTGGGCATTATGATGTTTTCGTAGCCGGCTTCACTTCTCTGGGGATACTACTTGCGATGGTCACTCTCCCGAATGGTTCATAGTACATTCTCTCCGTGAGATTTGACCAATCACATCCAGTATTCGTGAAGATTCTACTTCTTACGAGGGCTTTGTGATGCATATGTAACTTCTCATGGGCCCACAAGGTTGTGTAACACGGTAAAAGTCTGAACCTTTTTCTCCCGAATGACTCCCCTTCTGTCTAGCATTTTGTCTCGTCACATATTTTTTCATCCCATTTTTTGTGCTCCCTTTTGACCAATCAGCTATTAACAGATGTGGCTCCAACAATGGAGGTTGTAGTCACCTCTGCTTGCCCAATCGCATTGGCTTCACCTGTGCCTGCCCCACGGGCTTTAGAATCTACAACGAGACCACCTGCGCGGAAGGTAAGAACAGTTTCTCCTTTGGATTTTAGACGCATTTTGTATCAACAAAAACCTGGTCTTCCATTGGCTGAGTGCGTAGTCTCTTATCCAATATCTGTGCATCAAAGATGATTGGAGATTTCTTTTTGTTTGGCATCGTTCACAGAGATAAATTCCTTTATGGTGTTTGCCCGGAGCAAAGACATCCGTAGGATTTCCTTCGACACGGACGATCTCACAGATGTGGTGATACCGTTGCATGATCTAAACAGTGCAGTGGCTCTTGATTGGGACAGTGACGAGGAATTTATCTTCTGGACAGATGTCGTGGACGATGCTGTCAGTAGGGCTAGATGGGATGGTTCAGAACAAGAGGTATGTCAGCTGACAGTGAAAATGTGACAATGGCATTGTGACAATGTGACGATGACAGTGGTACAGTGACAAAGTAATATTGGCAGTGTCCACATTGATTAAAAATGACTGAGTGGCACAAACATCAGACAATCTGAGTATAATTGACAGTGACATCAGTATGTCAGAAACAGTGACTCAGTGATGTGAAAGTTATAGCAACAGCAAACAAGTCTTGTCCCCCAAATTTATTTCTGTTAGGAACTAAGGAAGATTTTGAAGTTCGAGTATTTCAAGTCATATTTCATCTGTCCTTCAAAAATTGATATTTTCCAGTACATTTTTGAAGCACCTTGTGTTTCATAATCTACCAGAGTAGTGGATTATTGTCACTCGTTGACCATGAATAGTAACATGAAGGCTTTTGAATGATTTGTATTGTTATATCGCCTTCTCGGACTCAAGAAGGAAGGTAAGTTTGTTTGCTTAGTGCAAGCACACAAAGTGTCCTTTTCTTGCTGTGAAATTCTGCACAAAGGTTTTGTTCATTCTCTTGTTTTCACTCTTTTTTTTAAAAGAATAGCACACTTTTTGTATTTTCAGATTGTGGGACTTTTTTTTAATCCAACTTTGTCCCGTAGCTTGTAATGTTTGCTAAAATTGAAACTAAAAGTTTGAAAAATAGAACGACATTTTTGATGACAACAAAAGCTATTGAATTTTCAGCTTTTTGTGGAAAGTAGTTCATTCAGCTGTACCATTTGCTGTGATTGGTGTCATCCTTGGTGTCTAAGTCTTAAAACATCCAGTACCTTTCTTTAATTCCCATCCTTGTGCTGAATATTTAAACTTGCATGTGCGCACGAATTGATTTGGAACATTTTTATGTATTGCAATGCCAGTCTTCATTTGTCTAATTCTTTCCAGTTTCTTTGTCTGTCATCAATTTATTCCCCAATCTCACTTCTCAGACCATCGTCTCGGTCAGCCTGGAAAGCCCCGCCGGCCTGGCTGTGGACTGGGTCACCAAGAAGATCTACTGGACAGAAGCTGGGACGGACCGTATAGAGATTGCCGACTATGACGGCAGTATGAGGACGCTCCTACTTTGGGAGGACCTTGATCGACCCCGAGATATTCTCGTCGATCCCCTGTCAAGGTGTTGTAGATTCTCTCTGTCCACGAGATTTGTTGACGTAATCAAATCGCGATCCAAATTTGAGGCGAGTGGAGTGCCGTGGCCTTGTGGTTAAGAATAACGGATTGGTAGTCGGCGGGTAAAGCCGCAGGTTGCAGGTTCGAATCCAGCCAGGGGCCATGGTGCGTGTGCCCTTGGGCAAGGCGTTGTGTCACTCATTGCCTCTCTCTCCACCCAGGAGTAATTAATTGGGTACCCTGTGAGGGCAGAGATGGTTATTGTGGTTGATTAAGCCGCTTTGCACCAAAAAGGGAAGCATCGAGCTGTACTCTCCCAGGGAGCTGAGATGGTATTTGGAATGTTTCATGGGCCCAGTGAACAGGGGTAGTAATGGTGCACTGCGCCTTGATCTATGTTAAAGGTGCTTTATAAATACCTATATTGTTAGTATTTAAGAGCAGTCTAAAAGAAGTTGCTAGAGCCCATAACTAGAATTTGCACTCAGTGGCTCTGTTTATTGGGCCTTCGAGAAAGATTCTGCTATGATCAACAGATCAGCCTCTTACATGTTTGATTTATAAATGGGGTTGAGAAATGATCATATACTTGATTAAGAAAACATATGTGCAAACATTTCCTCAGGTACATGTATTGGACTGACTGGGGCGCCAATCCAAAAATAGAACGTGCCGGCATGGATGGGACCAATCGCGTGGCATTGGTCCACCAGGATCTGATCTGGCCCAATGGCTTGGCACTGGACTACGAACTGCAGAGGTTGTACTGGACAGATGCTGGTGCCAAGAAGATCGAATTCGCCAACTTGGACGGCAGCGGCCGACAGGTGTGGGATCCTTTTTTTACCCTGGACCTGAAGAAATGAGAACAAGATAGTACTCTGATCAGAGAATTTTCATGCTGTGGTTGCAATGCTTAGGTCACTGAATTTAGAGACTAAAGTTCTGTTATCTTTTTCATAGTTAAAAAAAAAAGGAACATCAGTATACATATATGCCAACCCTCACTGAAGCTTGACGGTGTCAGGTGTACTGGTATGCCGAAGCATCAATCATAATTCCCAATTTTTAAATCCATGCAGAAGCCGTCGATGTCAGAAACAGCATTGCTTAGGTTTGCACCAGCTTTAACAAAAATTCCCAAAACTGGGCCTTTAACTGTATGCTGCCAGCGAGCCGGGTTTCAGGCACATAAGCTTTATACACGAAACTGGGGAGCCCGAAACCGGACAAAAGAGCTAGGCCTTAAAACAAAAGACCATATTCGGAACAAAAGACCAAGCTGCTGGGAATTGCTAACATTTGTTCAATTGTCAGTAGCGGAGGAAATCTGTCATTGGTTGGAAAGATTATACTACTGTTTGTGGCATTCAGCGCCAGTGGATTACCACCGGGGACAAAAGCGCTCCAGCGATGAGCGATACAGTACCAATGCATGCTAATCTGGCCCCTATTGAAAAGACACCAGCCGCGCACTGTGCCAGATTCGGAAACAAAAGAAACTTATGTAACACCAGTTTTATTTTATGCAACTTCAAATTCCACCTGGCAGCATGTGGTTAAAAGTTTTTTAAGGTTTACAAAACTTACATAACTCTTCAACTTTTCCCGAGAAGCCCAGATATTGCATGGTGTTCACCGCAAGCTTTCCATCTTGGTTATAATTTAACTTTTATCTCAATCTTGAATGTCCTTTTCTCTTGAAAGACGCTCATCGGTACTCAAATCCCACACCCTTTCGGGCTGACGATCTTTGAGCAACGAATCTACTGGACTGATTGGCAAACCCTGAGCATCGAGAGTGCAGACAAGATGACCGGCAGCGCTCGAACTGTCTTGACCACCGGTCTGGAGGATTTAATGGACATCCATGTCTACAGCAGACACAGGCAACAAGGTTGGCTGACCCCTCTTAACATCCCATTCCTAGCCCCGCCCCCTTCCCAGTGCAACCTGTATTGTCTCCATGCATGAACTGAAGAGGGCGCCATATTGCCATACAGAGAGGGTCGCCGTAGGGCATTGTTATTTCCCTGGTTTCTGCCCAGGACTTATCCACCAATATTAGGAATCAGTGGGTGCCAGTGAAGGTTCTGTCGCCCATGTCAAACAATAAGAGTATGGTGGGAAAAGCTGGTTCCTAGTTCCTCAATTAATACTCAGGAATTAGAAAGCCCAGTATGGGAACCAGTTGAAGCAAAGGCAGGTTTACATACTTCGTTACCACTGTCACCCATTCACATGAAAGAATGATTACATACAAGTGAATTATCTTCTATTGAGGATAAATTTTGTGCTTCAGGGCACCAGCTAGTGACATCAAAAGTCTGTACTGAAAAAAAAATGATTAATTTGACAAATTTGAAGTTATTAAAGTTAGTTGCATTTTGTAACAAGTGTTGATCCCAAGGAGTTGTTCTCTTGTAATCTGCTCTGTGGTGAATATTTCATCTTCAATTAATTATGGAAATGTTCTCCTCACACAGTGTCTTCTCCCTGTCTCGTGAATAATGGTGGTTGCAGCCACATCTGTCTAATGTCCCCCAACGCTCGGGGCTACAGTTGTGCATGCACCGTCGGCATCAGGCTAATGGAGGACGGTCACACCTGTGAACAAGGTGAGAGCCATATGCTCTGTGCCATTCAAATGCAAGCCTAGCTTCTCTACTTCTCTCGCCAGCAAGGGCGCATTTCCGCAAATTGCTGGGCGAGGATACAGCTAGGCGCAGAATGTCATTGTGAATTATCACTAGTCAGTTTGCCCTCACAAATGTGCGCAGCATTTGCCAAGGTAGGTCTGCATGTGGGTGCGCAGCATTTGCCAAGGTAGGTCTGCATGTGAAACGAGCTCAAGCGAGATCTAGGTCTTTCTTGGTTACAAAGATACTTCCATATGCTCTTTAGATGTAGCCAAGGGGTTTTTAGGTCCAGCGTTGTGAAGTTGTCAAGTATTGCTCCATCTGCTCAGCAAATATCAGTGAACCGGTTATTAGCAATATAAAGTACATGACAATCTGGCTTGTCACCGGCTCGTAGTTACCCAAAAAAATTTGTGGTAAGCAGATTTTCTATTGGCCATAAATTGAAAATTCTCAGTGGAATTTTGTTGGGTCGCATGACAGGGATGAACGAGTTTCTACTCATCGCTCGTCGTACGGATATCAGACAGATGTCGCTAGATGTGCCATATTACGCCAATGTGCAGATTCAACCGGCTGGTATACGCAAAGCAATTGCAGTAGATGTTGATACAGTTGAAGGTAGGTTTTGATTTGACACCTTTTATCTTTGTATGTGTAACGTTTTTGAAATGTCACAGGTTGCAATCCTGCTTTGGTTAACCGTTGGTCAAATCTTTGAGGTTTGTCTGTATGCCTTGTTAGGGAAAATATACTGGGCAGATATCACCGAAGAGGCCATCAGTCGGTCAGACCTAGACGGCCGAAACTCTGAGGTGGTCATCCACAATAACCTGCAAGTCACGGATGGACTGCGCGTGGATTCCATCGGACGGAAGCTCTATTGGACGGACACAGGCACGAGACGGATCGAGGTGGCCGACTTGGATGGCCGACATCGACGAGTTTTGATTTGGGAGGAGATTGACAAACCGCGAGCACTGGTGTTGGACCACGAACACGGGTAAGTGGTTTCAACCGTTGAGATGGCATTTACACACTTTTACCGGAACCGGGACTTGTCATCACAACAGTCCTGTACCTACAGAGCCTGACTTTCTGATAAAAAATCCATAAGAGAGAATTTGTGTGTAAGTCGCAGCCGAGGCTAATGGTAGCTCACATGTCTACCTAAGTGGCTTTCACAGGCTCAGGTCTTGTTCCTAGCCACAGCCTTAAGTTTGGGCCGTAACTGGAAGCATTTATCACCATGTGATTCCTTGTAGACTCCTTCCGCTGTGCCACTTCAAGAAAATACCGTTGACCAGACCTCATATCCCATATGAAATCCTCCGCGAATTCTGCACAAGAAAATTTCTACAGTGTTTTCCATGAAAAGTTAAACTTAATTCCCTTCAGAACAATTTTTGTCCAGATTTACAAAGATAATGCCGAAAAGTACCTATCACCATAGTTCAAATCAATTTAAACGCTGAGACCTGCAACTTTGTTGTGGTGTAGTTTCAAAGTTAGTTTTACTTACCAAGTGTAGCAAATGGTGGAATTTTTATTTTTTCAACAATAAACTTAAAACCGCATCACCACTCTTTGTAAAGTTGTTTAAAAAGAGATAAGGTTATTCTTTTTGGTGCCCGGCAGTTACATGTATTGGACAGACTGGGGTGTCCAGCCAAGAATTTCTCGCGCTTGGATGGATGGCCAGAACGCTGAGGTCATTGTGAATAGAGACATTAGCTGGCCAAACGGTTTGGCATTAGACTCGGACGAAGGCCGGCTTTACTGGTGTGATGGTAACATTGACTATCGGGTAAGTTCGACTTCGCCAACAACATCACAGGCATTCTTGTTTAAAGTCCATCACAAGTCTGTGCTAGTCCCTGTGAGTCCATCACAAGTCATTCAGTCTGAAGCCAATTCACAGGCTATTCAAACGAGTTGTGACCAAAGCATCCTTTTTCATTGTTAACCCCGTTACTTATGACTGACCTTGTGAAGGGACTTTTGATGGACTCGTCTCCTACACTGTTCACCCGGCACAAAGTGGATAAACGATTCTTTAACAAATTTCAAACACAGCATTTTCACCATCAAAATATATGCGTTCATTAAAACGAAAAGTAAAAGTGATACATCAAAACGAGGAGTCATAGCCCAGTCGTTGAATTCTCTGACAGCTCATCGCGTCTGTGGACCTTGATGGTAGCCATCGTCGCACCTTGGTCAATCAAGAAGTCTACCATCCATACGGACTGGCTCAGGCCGGAGAGTACATCTTCTGGACGGACTGGCAGCTCAACAGTATCAAGAGAGCTGACAAGAGAACGGGAGGTAACGTGCTGACCATCACAGAGAACCTACCTGACTTGATGGACATCAAGGCTGTCAATATGAACAAGAGAGGTCAGTATCAATAATTGATTATTAACAATTAATTATCAGTATTGATTGTTAGTAGCAGATTATCAGTTATTCATTGCACTAAACAAAGATTCCAATCACAGAGCTCAGGATTGATCAGAAGTGTATTGACTATTATTAACTCTTTATAGGCTATTGACTGTAACTAAATGATACAAGAAAGTAATGATCACCTTGAAGTGTACTGATCGTCAGGAACCAATCGTTGGTCATTGATTATAACAAAGTTACAGTCAAAGGTCAGGATCAATTACAAATACAGCTTCTAGCAAAGGGTTGCCTGAAAACTAATTTGTTCCGCTTTGAACATTATTCTGATTGCAGGCACCAACCGCTGTGGTGACGATAATGGAGGCTGCAGTCATCTGTGTCTTCCAAACCCTCTCAGCTACTCCTGTACTTGTCCTACAGGGATTGAACTCCAAGACGATCACATGACCTGCGTCGATGGTATGTACGATGCAAGTCGCTTTTTGAATTTTTGTTGCGGCTACTGTGGAACATTTTCCTCTCCTGATATTAAGCCAAATCTTGAAATGATTTCGGACCCAAATACTGACAGTCAAAGGTCATTGAGATATTTGTGTTCAATGTCTTTTAGCGGCCTTGTTTCATATGAAAGCCATTGTCGAGCCCATTACAAGACACATATCAGCCCAGGCAGGATTCAAACCCCCCCATCACGCTGACCTCACTCTGAACTTGATGTGCCGTTGTCTTGTATTCTCTCGTCAAGTTCCTTCAACCTTCCTCCTGTTTGCGACGAGGAACACGCTGCGACGCATCTCCATGGATACCGACGACCATCTTGATGTCATCTTGCCCATCGAGGAAGACATCGAGAACGCCGTGACGGTAGACTTTGATAGTGTGGAGCGCAAGATCTACTACACTGATGTATATCAGAATGTCATTAGGTAGGAG